TATTGCCTCTGAGCTGAAAAGATTTCACCAGTATACGACTTGAACTACAATGACATTGTACCACACAAATATTAATTTGGGATACCTTACAAAAGGGTACCTCAACACTCTGCTCCCTACAGACTAGTCATCCTCCCTAGTGCTAGTTTCTTTTAAAAATGCTAAAAATACATTAATTACTTTCCTTATGTTCATATTCCACATAAGAATTTGCTGCTAATGGGCAAGGGGATACGATGTGATTAGTAAGAGATGGGTTTTTTTTCTCCAGCTAAGACACTACTAGAAACAGGAGGAGTTCAAACTCCCAGTAATCCATATATACACTCGGGTGATATTTCAGAGTTCAAATCTCCATTCATGCTAGAGGCCATATTTTCTGCTGCTCCTCATATTTAACAATCCCTATACCAGACACAGAAAATCTGGTTTTCACTAGCTTTTTTTTAATCATCTCTATCTGCCCCCCCTCATCTTCCAAACATTTTGCCAATGAATCTCTGTGCAGCTCGGTTTCACAGAAACAAATCAACACTTTTCAGGGGAGAGCAGAGCAAAAACCACAGCCACTCACAGTTTGAGTGTACAGGTACAGGCAAATATTTCAAATGGCCTGGTGAATTTACTTGTGTTGAAGACATTTTAAAAACCATAACTTTAAGACTATTTTTTTCTCCCCCTTAAAAAAAACCGCTGGAGGCCTTAATACATTATATATTCAAATAAGAGCTGTGTCCTGAAACACAACGAGACTTTAAATGACAATTTCACACTCTGCTTCCAATCTGGTTAAGGCAGTTACTCTTCTTTGACAGTAGCAGAGGAAGTAAAATTGCATGTGCTGCTGCAATCTACCTCTACAAACTGCATACATTTCTCATGCTAAAACAATTACATAAAAAGTTTCTAGTGTCAGCAAGCACTAACAGACATGTGCCTGCCCATACACATGTATATATTAAATATATGATTTATATTCACTTAGCTGAAATTTTATATAAGTGATGAATATTCCTAGTATCCAGCTCAATACAGCTTAAAAAAGCTGAATTTTTATATTCACAGGGAAAACCCTTAGGGGAGAAGTTTCTCTTAAATGCATCAGTTAGGGATTAAAGCTCAGAGTTCCTTTTAAAAATTGGATTGCAAAAAGCACAAGAACTGCAGTACCCAACCACATCACCTACTTCTGTTCTTCAGAAATCCCAACACAGCCAGCTTGGTATTCATGTTTCAGAGCTAAGAACAGATGCAATGCAGTAAAACCAGACATTTGCAGAGATTCCCCACATATAAAAGAGGGGGGGAAGATATAACATCACATCCTCAGACCCTGGCATTCCAGGAATAATTCATCATCAAAACAGCAAAAGATGTACATACCACAGCTAGAGCTAGGAAAACCTCACACTGTGAAGAATATTTTGAGGAAATTTACTGTGGGTGGAAGACCCACCCTCTGCTATAATAAGGTTCTGCTGACATACTAAGTATATATCCTATGGTGAATAAACAGCCCCGGTGGTTAACGCTGCATGTATGATCATGACAGGATGTATTGTGTCTTTTTTCTTTTTCTTTTCCTCTCTCTTTTCAAAGGCTCTCATGCCATGCACAGTCTCTCCTCAAAATCACACAAACATATTCTAAAGCCATTTCCACCCTGCGTCCTTTCTGGGAAAGTCACCTAAGTAAATACCACGATTGCAACAAACAACACTCAAGGCTCAATGCTCTCTAAACAAAGAGATCTGCCAACTGGCAGAATATGAATAAACAAGTTTTTCCTTCCTTCTTGTTTGTGAGATTTCAGATAACAAATGTGTTTCTTCTACCAGCATTGCTCAACAATGACGGAATTTACAGCCTCTTTCTGCCACTAAGCCTCCAAGCCTACTTTCTTCTTCTTTTTGCCTCCGTTTCAGTCCAATTCAATGTCCAATGTAAACCAGGTTACAGAGCAAGAGAATACAAGGTGTACCAGCAAATGAGTTAAAGCAGAAGCAGAGTATTTCCACTGCACAGCTGCGTGCCCTCAGAGGGAAATACCCGCACAGAAAACACATAAAAATAGATACCTAAAATCAAATATGACATGCCCCCTCCCGGCCCCCCCCGCGCCATCACCTCCATTTTGCAATCCCAGTAAAAACACCGCTCCCTCCCTGCCTTCACCCCGGACACCTCGGGCTTCTTGCGGCTGCTCCCCACGCCCAGACCGGCGCTTCCCGGCGGGCACGCACCGAGCCCGGAGCGGCAGCAGCTCCGTGCCCGGCCCGCAGCCAGGTGATGCTGCAGCAGCGGCAGCAGCGCCGAGCGGCTCCTGCCGCAGCCCCGTGGCCGCCCCGGGCCGGGGACGCGCGTCCTGCGCCGCGGAGAGTGGCGGGGGCTCCGCCACGCCCGAGCCCCGGCTCACCCCACGCACGGGCTCGGTACCGGGACCGGCAGAAGCCCCACCGCGGGGCTGAGATGTCCCTCCCCAGCACTCACCGCCGCTGCCGCCGCGGCGACGAGGAAGTCCCGGCCCCGCCGCCGCCGCCGGGAGTGACGCGCGGCGCGGCCAATGCGCAGGGCGGGCCCGGCCCCCGGCGGGCGCGGGGCGGGCCGGGAATCTCCTTTCCCCGGGGCCGGGACACGGCGTGGGCTCCGGACTCCCGGCTCCCGGGGGGGGCCTGGCCTTCCCAGCGGTGCCGAAATGCCGCGGGAGCCGGGGCGCGGGCGGAGCGCTAGGGAGAGCCAGGGAGAGCTGGCCCCCGCCCGCTGGGCGGCCGGGCTTTAGCCTTGCAGATCAGTAGGCGCTCTAAACGCAGTAGAAACCAGCGGGCGAAGTTAAGCGCATTCCAGAATTTAAGCTGTTCTAAATGAAGGTCTCAAGGGAAAGGCGGCTTCCCAGTGTTTGCAAATGAGTTAAGCACGAAATGTCACTTTCTAATAACAATAGTCAGTTTTATTCCCCTAGCCTGTTTCTTCTTCATTTTATGTGGTCTCTGGTCACCTGGCAGGCTCATTTGTTTAGAAACTCAAATTTTATACAAAGTTTCAACCTCAAAAAAAAAAAAATTGTTGTCAAAATCTCAGTTGAGAGAGAGGGGAAAAAATAGGCCAATGAGCAAGCAATTATGTAACTCCCAAGTACTGACTTTCTGGTTTTAGTGCCATCTATTAGAAAAAGACTGCGCTTCATAAGAGCTATGTACAAGCTGGATCCCATTCAGACCACCAAAATAACACTCAATATTTGGAGCAAACTTCAGAAAGATGTTTGCAAGGGCTCAGGATGGGGGGAAGAGGTCTCTAGGTAAGTCCATTGCCCACAAGTATTCGTGGCCCTTATGCTACATCTCTGCCAGTTTGCAGTGTTTGTGCTTTTAGCAGAAAATATGTGACAGATCAAGTAAAAAATCAGTTGCATTTGCATGGATCATGCGTGTTTAGAATCAAGAGCTACTCCAGTTTAAAATTACTGATGTAACATCTTTGGCTTAGCCAGTGTTACAAGCAGCTTCTACAATAACTGAAAGCATAGATAGAGGAAAACATACTTTTCTGGGTTTGTTTTTGTTTCTGTTTTGTTTATTTCATCGTCTGGAGACCTTTGCAAAATAGAACGTTTCCCTTTACACTCTGTTCCCTCTATTTCTGATTGCACAGTCAAGAAGGGGAAGGTACACACAGACAAACAAAAAAATGTAAAAAAAAAAGAAGAAAATGATGGATCGAAGCCTGGAATGTGTGTGAGGGAGCCAGGAGTCCGTTGTTGAAAACAATGTTTAACTGGTTATATTTCAGCTTCCTGGAGAACTTTAAAGGTTGCGCTTGCATTTGTCTACAGGTGATGCTCAGCTCAGATGAGTGCCCTAAAAATAAATCCTGCTGCAGATTCAATATATACTTTTGCTGCCTGCGTGAAGCCTTTTTGAACTCACAGCTGAATGTGATGCTCACTCATGTTATATTCTCCTGCATGTTTTATAACGGGCACTGCTTGAGAAAATGTAGACACAACCCAGTGTCCAAATTAATTTCAGAAAATTAGAGAGGACTGCACTACTCTGAAATTCTTTATATAAGAGATATATATACACACACACACATATATAAAAGCAGGGATTATTTGAGGACAAATTAAAAATAGCCTTGAAAGTGACTCTGGGCTTTAATCTCCCATGTGACGTTGCATCATACATGATGAGAAGGAAATACCTTCAGGCTCTAAATAAACCTATTATCATTTAATCTCTAATGGGTTATTTTGAATTCCAAAGAGAATACATCTTTTGTGCACTTGCACAGCACAGAAGACCACTCTGGATTTCCAAGTCCTACCAGAGGCTAAGGAAACCATAAAAAGAGAAACAACAGCCAGGAGCAGGCTGATGAAGAACAGCAGGCTAAGCTGCCAAAACAGAAATCTGTGGTGGTGTGGCAGCATCAGCTGGACATGAGATGTGGGCAACAAATTGGGTTTCTGCCAGTTCCCTCTTTCCACAAAAATACACTGGAGTGGTGCCTTCTTCAGAGGATGTAGGCACCCCTGTGATAATCCTGTTTGTTCCAGGGGGATGAGGGGGACAGGGGTTAGGTCTGAGCAGGCCACGTCCCCTCGCTCCCCTCTGCTGGGAGCTGCCATCCTCTGAAGTCCTATTTCCCCTCTTGCCATCAACACTCCCATGCCATCTGCTTTCCTGTACTGCCCGGGTGCTTGTGGTGAATGCTTGATTTTATTTTCTCTTTACTAATTACTATACTGTAACTTAAAAGGAAGCTTGCCTTTTTTGTTTTGTTTTGTTTTTAAGTAGGTAACAATGTCATTCTGCATCACACAGGAAAGACCGGCTTGCTCAGCATATACAATGCACCTCTTTGAAACATACTTACATCAGCCTTTGACTCCACTTGTGAACTGACCGCCCATTCCAAGAGAACACAAACACACTGCCTGCTATGCTTATCTACATAGGCAGATGCATAAGGAAGGAAAAACACAGCTACAGGGGTGGAAATTTAATCCATCATCATTTAATTTAAGGCAGTGGAAGTCTTCCTTACATATGGATGTCCCCTGACACATTTAAGGTACCGAAGAGAAGACTGCTGAAAAATAATGACTGTTTTTTCTCTCCCTCTCTCCACATAGCAAAATACACAGAAAACACACATTCTGTCTGACATTGTTAATGCCTGACAGTGGTCTTCACTGTTTTGACAATGAGATTCCAGAAGCCCTGCCAACCTCATGTCCACAGGGCTCTGTAGACAGCGCTGTTCTCCAAACCTAAGATTTTATGATTTTATTGTGAAACATCTCCTTAGAAGATATAAAGAAGCATGAGAAACATCACAGTTATCACATTAAATAACAAAAACAAGTATTGTTATACTTCATTAATATAGGTTTTGAAAAAGGTTTTGAATGATCAAATCCTCCTAAGAATTTATCCCAGATAAATCATAGACCATATTGAGGTGAGCACAGACTGCTCCTTCAATTCATAGTCTCATTAAATGTGTTAGTTGCTCCCCAAGAGAACCCTTAAGTAACACAGATTAAAACCTTACCCCAGCTTTGCCTTGCAAGGGTGACTGCTTAGCACATCCTGGTTGTGTGCTTGCTAATGCATAAATGTACAAATCACAGAATCCCTGCTGCTGGGAGCTCACTGTTCTAACACAACCAGAACAGCACAGACCCTGCCTGCATATATATGTAAATATGCCTGGTTATCAGCTTGCTTCTCTGAAGTGTACCAGACAGGATTCTCCTTTCCTAAGTTTAGAATCTAACTATGAGGTATCTGGTTGAAGCTCAATTTTATAAGCAATGTAAAATTCCAGCAAATGCACACACTCGGGTGTTTATAAAGTGCAGTAAAAATAAGGCAGAGTAGAAACCAGTAAATTGGAGCTATTAAGAGAAAATATGACAAGTGAACAAAGATTCATTTTCTTATTTTTGCTTTAGAGTGCTTCTATTTCATTCCAAAACCTTCATTATGCTCTATGGCATAAAGCAACTTCTCTTTGAGTATTTCTTTACTGCTGTATCTGGGGAGGAACAAAATGCGCTGGCAAGTACTGGCACGGGGAGATAACTCATCTGGATTTTCTTCTTGAAGAGCTACAATACAAAATCCAAAACGTTCTGTTCCATAGCCAGTGATTTTATCAGATCCTGTCAAAAAAGCTGAAGGAAGGAAAAAAAGAAAAACAAGTACAAGTTAGTGAATTATAAAACAAAATAAAATAATTTTAGCTGGAAATCATTAAAAGAATTAATGTTAATGAAAAATTATGAAGGGAAATTAGTGTAAACATACGGATATTTTTTAGGCTAAGCATTATGCTTTGTTGAATTTGCACCTGAATACAGATTGAAGTCTCTTACTGATTCAAGTCCTCTTCGACTTTATATTATAGACTTCGTGGATGAGAAACGCCAGTCTAGGTCTGACCTTCTACCTTTAAAAACGATGATCTAGCTTCTGCAACCCTTTGAGAAAGGTAAACTGCTTACATCAACACAGTGTACTCACACAAACTGCGGCCTCTGACCAACAACACAACCACAGAAGTAAGGGATAAAGTAACTGCAAGCTTCAGGGTGGTCTGATGCAAACCTCAAGGGATGAGAGGAGGGTCAGAGTTGTCCCTGTGCAACTCCTTGCATTACTTTTTTGTGGTTTTCCCTAGAAAATGTGGCAGCAGCAGGGGCAAACACGTTTAGAAGCTACAGTTTGGAACTATACTATAGTAGTTTTTATGTGCAACCATCTAGAATGTGTAGTGTGGGGAAAAGAAAAGGCCAAAGTTTAAAATGCCTGATACATTACCAAGAAACATTTTCTTTTTTTCTTCTGGTAGCTTGTGAAACACAGTCCAAAAATTCCTGATGGTTTGATCTAACTTCTCATACCCTATGTACATCACATTCTGTCAAAGAGACAAAAATAAAACAGGCCAGTTAATCCTCAATATTTCCATTTATATTTAAAGCAACATTTTATGTGATAAATTTTATAATCCTGTTCATAGATATTCAAATCCCCTTAACCTCTGGAATCTGCTTGTTCATTTGTTTTTCAAAGATTCAATGACAATCCCTGAGTTACAGTTTGATACTTATTCCCCTTTATTCTTGTAGCTGATGTAGATTAGAAACAGAACATCGACACAAATCAAAACAAGAGAAAGTTCTTTGAGCTTCTGTCCATCTGTTATGTACTCAATGAAAGAACAGGTCAGAATTAGTTTATGCTTAGCAGATAGAGCAGAAGGACTCTGTGCTTGTATACAATACCTTTTCCAGCAGATGCCAGTCAAATGTTGTGTGTCCCTGGAGAAGAACCTGCAGCTCTTCAGGAAGAAACATCTTCCAATTTCTAGCGGGGCAGCCTCTTAAGAACCCTTTCATAAAGTCCTCAAATGGCTTCTTTACTGATTTATTGAACATATAATTCACATACAAATCAACATATTCTTTCCTGCAACAGATACCAAACAAGCATTGGTGGTGCTTTTCTAAAAGGAGAATTAGAGAGAACTTTATTCCTTTATTCCATATGACCTGCTGTACAGACTCAGACTTCACTGAGACCAGTTGTCACTGGCAATTAGTTATTCACTGAATAAGCTGGAAGCATCTTCGCAAATAGAAGAGAATTAATTCTGGCCAGAATGGATTCATTTTGGTATCATTCCTTGTACTTCATGTGAATGCTCCAATGAAATCCTATCAGACACCTGATTATTATAAAAGATGGAACCTAGCAGACCTAACTCTCATTGAATGCCCAAGAATTTCCCTGAGATAAAAAAAAATATTTGCACAGCTGCTAATCAATAGTTTCACTCTTCTCTCTACTTCAGATGGGGATTTGTGTAGTGACATTGTACTTGTACAATCAACTCAGTGTAAATGCTGTACTTCAAGCTTCTTAAATAGCCCTTTCATGGATCTCTATGGGTCCTCAGGTCATCTGAATAATTCAGGATATAAAATTTCTCTCTGTCCTCTGTGCCGAGATTAATATTGACACAAAGCCTTATTGATAGATTGCTCCTTCTCCTTTATGTCCAAGATACATTCCATATACGTAATGAAGCAGGAAACATTTTGCTCTTAAAAAAACCCTTACAGAACTGTACCTATTACTGGGTTTCCCAGACAAATCATGTATTTGCCTGAAGATACTGTGCAATGTTACTTTTTACATTTGTTAGGAATTTTCCTGTTAATGCCAGGTGTCTGTTATATGCAGATACCAGGATGTCCAAGGATCCCCCATGTCATCCACAAACTGCCGGTGTTTGGCACCCATGCAGCAAGTACAGCAGAAACTGAAAGTGTACAACCTATCAGACCAAGACAGTATATGGGTGCAGACATGTTATTTCATACATTTATAACAAGACAACAGGATTAAGAAATATAAAAATAAAACTGACCTGTTATCCTTAGTGACGGGAATGTTGGCACCATTTTCTTTAAGCTCAACAACATCTGTGGAATCTTCTCCTTCCATTATCTATGCAAATAAATTAAAACACTGGATGCTATATCTATATGTAACATCTATATGCTACATCTCTCATTCTTCCTGAAGGGCCTGACATGGCACTCTCACTAGTTTGAGTTTACAGATGAGTTGTGTCATTTGCACTGGGACAGCATCTTGCCCAAGTACCTATGTGAGATGTCTTACCGTGAAGTCCAAGTCCAAGCTATCACATTCTTCATTCAAAATTCTCCAAAGACTCCTGTCCAAACACAAAAGAGATTAAAGAGAGAAGAAACGTGACTATTCCGTGCACTTTCAAATTCTGCTAAAAAACATCCTTTGAAAAGCACTATTTAAATGCATACATGTATACAACACCTATAGTCACACAGAACCATGACATATGGCCCTGAAATTTCATCATGCTGCTGACGTAAGCTGAACACAAATGCCTCCAGTAAAAAAAGTTTCCAGACAAGTCCACCCCCATGCCCTGAGAGGTCAACTTTAGACAAAGTTCAGTGACAAACTTGGTCACTATGGGTTTGGGACTACAGCCTCGCTTCCAGACATTATCTACTGAGGAATTAAGTGTAGAACAGTGGGATGACCTTGAAGAATTCTTTTGGGGTGCAGCACCTCTCCAAGTATTGCAGGCAACCTTGTGTTCCAATTCACTCAGGATCTTCAGTGAATTTAGCACCTCAGGAATTTAGCACCTCAATACAGTCACTGGCTCATGGGATGGGGTTCTGATCTTCTTGGTTGTTTATATCACTTGCCTGGAAGACCAGGCTTCAGGGGCCTAGGAGCATTATGTTGGTGGCAGCAGCACCTCTCCATCTATGTCTGCCTGATATCTCCTCTCCCATGCACGGAAACTCCACACAAGGGCTCTCAGAATTGGCACAATTGCAGTATTTTGTAATACTGTACTTGTGCAAGGCAATATTGTGGAAATCAATAATTAGTAAATCAGAAAAAAAACCCCAACCTAAATTAATAATTGGATAATTAGTTCTTTCAAGTCCAAACTACCTCCAAAGAGTTTTGAACTATATATTATATACAGTGTGGACTTAAGCTCTTGTGGAGCAGAGTTCTGACACCTTCTAAGCCATGAGGCTTGACTTTTTGTTTTGGCAATGCCAGCCTCTGAAAGCAACATCCATGCCCTGGACAAGGACCTCCCTGGAAATCTGTGGCTTCTAGCAGCTTCAGAACAGTAAATGTAGATGTCATGGGTGACCCAAATTCAGCCTCTGGAATCTCCCTGTGCATGATCAAGGCAAGGGACTCAGCTGAAGCTTGGGCCATGCCTGGCTCATACCGGCACGTGGTTGGCAGCAGATCCTCAAGGTCCTCCAGGGTAGGGGCCAGGTCCAGTAGCTTTTTGTAGAGAGCCCTGGGGAAGGGGAAGGGCACCATGCACCGGTTAAACAGGGCCATTCCACACAGTGTCCCGATCAAGAGGAAGGTGTCGTTAACAGGTTGGACTTGATGATCTTGAAGGTCTCTTCTAACCTTGCGATTCTTGTGATTCTTCTTGTAGTTATCCTCACAGCTCGAGGCCTGGTTAGGAACAGGCACACCAGAAAGCCATGACTGCCTTTTCCCATGGGTGAGGCCCCCATCCACCGCTGCAGGGCTGCCTTACCTGTCTGGGGAACCACACGAGGCCAGAGGGGAAGTGGCGGAAGGTGCCGGTGTTGGGCTGGCAGAGGGTGCTGGCTGCAATCCTGAAGAGTTCCTGGGACACTCCACCTTGGTCCATCCCCATCTCACCCACAAAAGACACCTGCAAGGCCCAAGACATCTGTAGATAGAGACACCCATGCTGCCCACAAAATCAGATTCTTTAGCTGGTGTGCAATAAGCCAGCAATTACACACCCGAGAGAGAGAGAGAGAGACGCTGATTATTTATTTCATGGTTGTGCTAACCTGGGTACTTGGTGGTATTTCACAAACCAAGTATACCCCACCAGACTTTTTGAACCATCATTTACAAACAGAAATTCAGAGTTAGTAACTGCCCAAGTCTGTTATGCTTGTTTAGTAAGTTCCAAACAAGTTACATAACCCCAGCAGGGTTCACCTGGGCAGGGGTCTCTTTGCCCTGTGGGCGTGATTTTACGTATTATAATGAACACAGTTCAGCTACAGGTTACGTGGCCCTTGAGTATTTTGCTAAGCTAGAAATGTATATACAGACATACACCAATATCTTGATTTACTGCGTCCTTAAAGCTTTTCAGTTCCCGGATGTCCTTGGCTAAGGAATGCTGGCTGCTGCCTGTTCCACTGACTAGGTCTCCTTTCTTCCTGATTAAGCTTGAACGTGTACAAAGATCGTACACCGAAAACCATCCCGAGGTACGAAAATCTAACCTACATCGCGAAACGCGCGCAGAGCCCCGAGGCCGCCGAGGCGGGGCGGGGAGCGGCGCGGGGCGGGCAGTGGGCGGCGGAAGCGGCGGCCATGCTGCGCGGCCCGGCCCTGCAGCTGCTGCTGCTGCGGCGGGCGGCCCCGGGCGGCCCCGCGCACGGCCGGCACTGCCACCGGCCGCAGGGCTCGGCCTCGGCTTCAGGCTCAGGCTCAGGCTCAGGCTCAGGCTCAGCGCGGCCACAGCCACCGGAGCCATCGCTGCTGCGCTTCCTGGTGTGCCCGCTCTCCAAGCGGCCGCTGAGGTGAGGATGGGACGGGGGAGCTGCGCCCGAGCCCTGGGCAAACCCAGGTTAGTCACTGCTCCTCATGTTTTTGCTTGGATGTTTCTCCCTCCCCCCTCCCGACTTGGCTGGCCAGGTACGAAGAAGCTACGAACGAGCTGATTAACGAGGAGCTGGGCATCGCGTACCCCATCGTCGACGGCATCCCGAACATGGTTCCGGAGGCTGCCAGGATGACGCACAAGAAGGCGCCGGCCGAGGGCTCGGAGCAGCCCTGAGGAGCCGCCGGGCACGGCGGTAACGGGGCCTGATGGCCGGAGCGGGGCTGCTGCCCTCCCTGCCCACGCTGACTGTGCTCATTCCCCTCCTGTCCCTGGCAGGCCTGTTCTACTCGGCCAGCGTCGACGAAACCTTCCCCCAGGGCTGCACCAGCACAACCAGCCTGTGTTTCTACAGCCTCCTCCTTCCTGTTACAGTGCCAGTTTATGTGTTCTTTCACCTGTGGACCTGGATGGGGATTAAGCTTTTTAGGCATAACTAGTGCGATGCCTTTGCTAACCCCTGGGCTTCTCTAAATCAACGTAATTGGTTTAATCTCATTAACATCTCAAGTATTGCAGTTCACTTGAGTGAGTTTCCCTCTGGCACTAGTAACTGGTATCATTTTCCTGGTAGGATCTGGAACTGTATGAAGCAGCAGCCCATTGTCAACTACTGCTAATGCAGATGAAGAGTAGGAGTAATAAGAAGCACTAATTCCCTCTGTTTTATCCCTTCAAGAGTGCTGTGCATTTGTAGTGGCACTAATGAAAACTTCAGTTTTCATGAGGAAAAACTGTACCCTGACTGAATAAACTAAGCTAAAACTAAAACATGCAGTGATGTGAACCTCTCTTTGAGAGCTTTGGGTTTTTTTTAACCAGATGCGTGTACCGAAATATGTCTTTCTCACTGTCAGAAGAGCAAAAATTAAAATCAGGCTGGTGTTTAATAACAAAACTTGAGTCAAATGAAGACTTCTTGCTTAGCTGGTACCCATGTCTGCATGTGCAGTATCTGCAGATCTTTTCTTCCTAGGGCCATTATGAAAGTGCCACATGCCAAGTTCTCAGTATTGTCTGAAAAACTTTCTAACAGCTCTGAAGGGGGCAGGTCAGTGCTACAATGAAGGTTTATTTTTTATGTTTTGCTTTTGGATAGTTTGTATCTGTAGCACAAAACAAATTCAGGTCCTTAAACTGCTGAAAAACGCAGAAATGAAGCACCAAGTTGTAAATGCTGCCCCGGGCTGTAAATGCTGTGGGATACTAACAGCGCAGTTACATTTTTCAGGCTGCTGCTGGGTAAATAATACTGTGATGCACAGTGTGAAAGGCAGTGTTCACAAGAGGTGTGCTCAAAGGCTGACTTGAGCTAAGGGCAGCTGTTTGTCAGAGCTTGTGCAGTCGGTGGAGACTCGAAATCTAAAGGACAGTACAGAGCATACACTCACTGCCTCTGTAAATAAATGCCTCTCTCAGCTGGGGTAGTGAGGAAGCAGGAAGGAAAGGTAGCTCTGGGAGCCATTGTGAATCTTCTCCTAAGTAAATGGGAAAGAAAAGCTTTGAGGGCTCTGGTTGGCAAGAAAGCTCACTTGAAAAGCACCAGAACTGGGTTACAGGGCACCAAGGTCCGTGGTTCCTGTGGCACAGGCGTGGTGCCAGACTTCGTGTCAGTGACAGGTGGGGCACGTGGTCCCTGAGCTGAACTCTGCTCCGGGCAGGTGGCCTGTTCCCATGTCAGCCAGCTAATGGCTTTTGCAGGGCAGGGCCAGCATCACGATTCCTGTGGGAAACGCAAACTGCCACAACGTTTGAATCAGTGTGGAATCCACAGGTTAAAGGCATGTGGAGACAGCAGCATTGTAATCAGATGCTCATCTCTCTGGCCAGCACTATGCTTCCTTTCCCTTCAGAGAGCATGTCCATGAGAGAAATGGTATTGTGTGGCTGTGTTGCTTGCTGACTCCTCAGGCTGGTTCCCCAGATGCTGGGGTTTTAATGTACTAGTATAAAGTCTCAAAAGTCAGTCTAGCAGCAATGGTACTGGACTTTGACAACTGAGCAATTCTATTCCATTACCCCAAAGCAACCTCACAGTAAATAGCACTGCCACTTGCATTTAACTTATGCCAACAAAGCTGCCTGGAATAAGGATGTACAATACTGCTTTCCAGATTTACTCTACACCATCTGTGGTGTAATAATTTGATGAGCAGTTCTTTAGTTGTATGCTCATAGGATACTGAAACCCTTCTACCAAAATTCAGTAATACTGAAAATCAAGGAACACTGCAGCAAAATACTTAAAGCTAACAAGTAATACAATTTTTATCTTACCTCTAATTTCTTCCTGAAATCTTGGTTTGAGGCAGATTTTAAATTTTTCCATATGTCTTGCAGAAGGTATTGTCTTCTGACGTAAAATTTCCATGGCTCAGAGATGCATATAGGGGGTATCTGAGGATTGAAGTAATAGTCTGTTAGCAGTGTGTTTATTTCTTCTGATTGGTAACAAAACTGGGTGCACTTACAGAAGAGATGTTGGACAGAGCCCTGCATTCTGTAGTATGAACGTAGATCTTGTTTTCCCTGTCAAAGATGCATGGGTACCTACTCAGCTCCCCTAGGGCTGTCTGAAACGACAAGGAAGAAGGAGAAAAACATGTTGATTTTCCCTTGTGAAACCAGAGTTCAGGGACATGTGTGCAAACTGAACTGCCAGTCCGCTCTGGCAAACTCCCATGTCTCTGAAATGAGCTCTTGTGTGCATGAGCACTGCACTAACAGAGGTTCACATCCTAAAAACAGCCCTACACACTCCTATGAGTGAGAAGCAGAGAGGCGTCTAACCTCTCTGTGCAGACAGACACTTGTCTACAGCAGTGTCTCAAGAATAAAACAGAGAGAGTGATTTTAACAGCATTTTCCGTAATTCAGCTAAACCAATGTGTCCTGGATACTCAGGTTATGGTATAGTGTTTTTAAAAACTGATGGGTTTATTATATGTAATACCGAAAATAGATACTGGTTTAAAACTAACCTAATTTAAAGTTTTACACCTCCAGTGTGATAAGGCAGTAACTTCAGGTAATGTCCTAATTGGCTTTTGATTCTATGCTGTTTCTCAAACCTCCTCCTCCACACTGGTTAATTGGTACAAAATTGGTATATAAGCAAATAAAAGCTTATGAAAGTATTAGGCAGTTGCCCTGCAAATTCCAGCCAAGTTGCCAGAAAGCTTACTCTTTCTTTGCCAATGGAAAACCCTACTATGCATGTTTCCATTTAATACTGCTTCCTCTGACACTGACTGATTTGGTAGCTAATTTTCACTCTATGTCATCAAGAAATGCCATAGATTATTTTTTATTACTACAGCTTAATTTTAAGATTGTAAGTGCATTGAAATGCTCAATAGGGTTTCTAATTTAAAGTTTAAAGACACCTCAAAATATTTCTCTTAATTAAACGTAATAAAATCCAGAGTAACACAAAGTATAGCAACCATCCCTATTTCACAGTGATTACTAGTTCAAAGCAAACAGATGCTTAAGAAGCTGGAGGGCAGCTCCAACTCTCAGAACCAGAGATCATCTATTTTATATATATATATAATCTCTATTGTAGCTGCTGGAACACTGGGATGATAAAGGGCTTGCATAATTTAGGGAAAATGAAATGTCTTTGAGATATGCTGGGTTAATCTCTAGAGCTCTAGAGTTGACTTCCATATATATATATATATAAACTATTTAAATAAAAGAAAAAAGTGTTTCATACTGCTTGTAAGATTTATACTTACTACTATATTGAAGTACGCACAGCAGTTGATAATATTTTTCACTTCTAATATATGGAAGTTGCTTTCATGTACTCTGAAACCAGTTCTGGAGTTCACCTGCATTGAAACATGCAATATATCAGCAACAGAATTAGTGAGCTGTGTCTGTCTGGCAGGACAGGACTGACAGAGCTTTCTTCAGAAAGGGCTCTGAGATCCTGCACAGAAATTAAAGGATAAAAGTGCTGCAAGCAGCACAGTGCTCTACAGTGAGAAGTCTTAGAAAGCCATGTATAAACTAGCAGGAAAGCAATTTTCATTTACAATTAAGACCCCTTAAAAGGACTCCATCAGGAAAAATCTATTTCCCTTGGAGTGTCTTTCGTATTTCTGTGGTTCCCTATTCATGTTTATACTTGTTGCCTGGAAAAGATACTTGCAGGGGGAGAGTGAACATTTAAAGCTCCAAATCATGTAATCACTTCCAGAGTAAAAGGCCTGCTGCACTTTTGAATTTATTTATCTGCATAAATACAGATTCAAGAGTCTAAACTTTGAGACCCAATTCTGCATTCTCAGCCAAAAGGATATTCAAGTCTGAACAAAATTTAACAAGTCTCTCTGATCTATACTGTGTGCTTGAGCTCTTGATTTTCATAAACTTTGAACATCTCCACAAGAGAAAGTATGGCTGTCCAGAATAACACAATTATTGCTTTGTTTCCCTTGTTCGTGTGCAGCTAAGGAGGTTCTAATGCTGTTGTCCCAGAGAATCTGTCAGGTTAACAGGCTCTTAAAGCATCACAGAGCATTACTGTGGCAGCCACAATGGGCCAAGCAGATAGGTTGTATTTAAATGCTCTGAGCAGTTACTAGAGTGAGGAATCTCATCAGCAGAAAGGGGAATGGGCATGTTATGTAGAGGACACCACATCCATAGCTGTGAAGGCACCTGGATGCACTCCTGACACCACTGAAAGCACTCTTCCCCCTGCCAGGGGCTGTAACATTCTTTAGCTTTTCATTTCTACAGAGGGTCAGTTTGGCACAACTCTCACAGGACTCCATCAAAACTGTGCTAGTATAGAACTAGAGAGATTCCTGAAGCAATGTCAAACCCAGAGAATTCAACAAGTGAAAAGTATTGAAATACTCTAAGCTACATTGTCTAATTGGAATCCAAGCACTTTCTTACCTGGTAAAGCATCTGCAGTATTTGCAGAGGCCCAGTTTCAGTTCCCAGTTTGGAGAGGCGGCCCGGCCCTATTCTTGTGAACTCCACGAAAAATTTACGCAGAATTTGCTGGGAAACCCTTTGATACAGAATAACCAGCTCCTTGAAAAAGGATGTTTCTAGATTTGACCACAGGCATTCTGTGAAGAAAACAGCTAGTGAGGTCACAGGTAACATACAAATCACTGCAATTTGTGGATGGAGCTGCTTTTTCTCTTTTTTATCAAATGGATTAAACAAAAAAAAGTTTAAGCTTGCACTACAAAAATTATTAAACCTCAGAATTGTAAAAATTCTTGTGCCTTGCTGTGTAGTCCCCATGTTTCTATGTCTATCAAAAGCAATTATTTCAAGCTTTGGAACACATTACATCAGTGATAATAACACTTGTTCTGCAGCAGAAAATGATCAAGCATTTAAATCATTCAGTTCTACCATCATAAAACCCTACCAAGAGTTTGCAGGCCCTCTGGCTGGAGCTTCATGATGGCTTGAGCTAGAAGACTCAGAGAAAGGAAAGAGTTCCCATCCTTTCCCTGCAGAAGGAAAGGCAAGATCAAGAAGACTCTGAAATTTTCAGGTGAGATGGGAGAGGAAGACAATGATGGCAGTAAGTTCCTAATCTCCTTTTGCACCTTCAGAGGGGAGGAAAAAAAAAAAGAGACAAGGGTTAAAATGCAATTACGTTTTGCCAAAGTAATTAGGTTAACATGAAATTCCTAAGTTTCATACACAAATCCAAAGCTTTTCAGTATCAGTGTAGTTAGCATCCTTATATCAAATCCTTACCTCCTGGTAGACCATTGGTTTTTTACTGATCTTCTTATAAAAACGTTTCACTTCTGATATGTCTACGCCTGAGACTTCTTTGGAAGTTTTGAAATGTTTGTCTCTATCACAACATAGAAAAAAGAACATAAATAATTTTTCTACTGAATAATAAAGCATTGTAATATCAGAAAATACTTGGAAAGTTCAGCCCCAGCTCCTGTGGGTATAATTTCATGTGTTCTAAGAAGACAGACAACACAAACCACTGTTTTGTGATCTGATTAACATCCTGTCCTTTCTGTCTTGTGTGGCTGTGAACTATTAATGGTAGACTCCTGTATTTCACCCTAAAATGACTTCCACTTCAGTGCCAGAAGGAGCTATTAAGGATCCTTTGAGAGCTGTAATATTGCCTGGAGGGATTATCATCATCTGCCAAATATCACTAAAGGATAAGCTTCTAAAATGTGAGCTTCTCTAGCACATTTCAGTAGGACCAGGACTATAAAAATCTTAATATTAGCTTGAACTTTGAAAAATGAAGACTTGCTTCTGCAGATTCAGATAAAATAAATCTTTTCTACATATGTGACCTAAAATAACACTTTCTGGTCAGTTTACATGCAGCCAATATATTCTGTTATGTCTAAGTCAGTGTGCTACCTTTTGTCCAGGAAGCTTCCATTGATGCAAGCCTCAGATGAAAAGATCAGTTTGATATTCCTGATAGTAAAAAAACAAAAAGTTAGTCCTTTCAACTTCAGGGTTTTAACTCTGAAAGAACAAAAAACGTGTACAAAGGTGTCTGCACCTGACCACACAAAACTTTTCTTAGCACCGCTTTGCTGTCAGTGTTGCAGAAGACATTGTAGTGGAGGAGTTACTGATTTTTGGCAAGCCACCTCTGCTCTCCTTGTAAGGGAGCCTGCTCAAGCCATGCCAGCCAGTGCTCCAGTCTGGTGAGTGTTATCATAGAGATTCTTCTCCTGACAGGTCAGAACATTAGCTACTTTTGTTTGTTATGCAAAATAAAAGGCACTGCAACATGGGAGGGAGGAGAATCCCTTTGACAGGGTCTTTGTAGCACGTGGAGGGAAAATCCATCAGGCTGCCAATTTACTGCTGCACAAAAGCTGGGTTCCAAGAACCAGAAGGGACATCAGACCTACTCCTGGTATTCCTGGTTCAGTTCTTATAGAAGTAGCTATTTTATCAAACAGTTTGCTGCCAGGCCCTTCCTACTGAGATCTGAAAAGAGCCCTCTCTTTCACCCTCTCAACCACCACTTTTCACATGATCCAAACTGTTCTAAAAGTGGTCAGGGAAACATTTAGTTCTAAGTTAGCCAAACTTTCAAAATACTCAAAATCAGCAGCTGGAGCCAGACTTTCCCAAAGAAAATAACCTCCCATATAAAACCTGAGAAAGACTATAAGTGTAAGGCGTCCACAGTGGTATATACATATTGCTTTTGAAAATGGGAAATTAAAGAAGTGACCACTAATTTTTAAATGCTGATGTAGCATTCCAGTTTGGGTACTCCGGATTAAGCATTTTGCACAAGGCCTTGGTCTGCAGGCAGGGTCTTTCAGTGATTTAACTTGTCAGCTCCTTATCAACTTTGTGCCAAGGTGCAAGATTGTGTTTTGTCTAAATTTTTGAACAACAGTTCCTACAATAGCCTCCAAAGAATAATAAATTTTAGAAAAAAATCATGTATCAGGGAAACACAAACAGCAACAAACCCAAACAGCAACAAACCCAAACAGCGAGTTTCTGATTTACGTTTCTATATGCTCACGCCATTTAGAGTTAGAAATCCATTTATCCACTTCTTTGTCCTCCAGAGTGGCAATTCCATTCAAATATGAATTCTGTGTGAAATACATTAAAACATTGACAAAATTAAAAATGTAGCAGATGGGATTTTTTTTAATCCAATCATTGCAAGAAGATTTCAGCCCAAGTATGAACAAACTAATGGACATCCAGAATGATCCAGATGCATTAACCACAGAACATATATAATTGCAATACAAGTTAGTCTGTAGGTAAAGCACAGAAAAAACTGCAATAGACATATATAAAATTGAAGTGCTGCAAGCATGGTGGAAAATCCAAACAGCAGCAATGTGGACAGTGGTAAAATCAGAAGCTCTAATCAAATGTGTACATACCGTGTTCTCCTCCTTGCAATGGGCAAAACTTTGATTTAGTCCTGCAATAATATTAATCCCCCTTTTTGACGCATTCTTTTCTGTGAAAGAAAAAAAGATTGTCGTAGGAACATTTGAAGAGACAGTCATTATCTTCAGAGAGTTAAGGGCACAAAAGTGGAACAGTAAAAAAACCCTCTGGGTAGTAGTTATCTGTTGAAAGTTTGATTCTATGAGGCTATTACCCATGATAATCAAGCAGCAAATGGAATAACTCCTGGTAGAATTTGTTGGGATGGCCAAGCAAGCATGAGACATAATGTTTGCCTTTCAGTGTAAATATAAAATTAAGAAAGCAAATATTTCCATGGAAGTAACAAATACAGTTTTCGTATACATCTGCAGTGGTAATTACTCTGGCAGGATTTTTCAGTATTCACTGGCGAATGGATGGGAAGTGGTATCAACTGATTGGGCTTCCTTTCATCTTCCAGTTGTCCTTCATCATAAGAACCACAGAAATAGAATTTGTCCAAGGAACGGACATAGACCAGAGTGTATTGTCTGTTCAGGGGAAAAAAAAAAGTCATAATAAGCGAAAACTACAGGGCAAAACAGAATAAAATTTACAAATACATTTTCAGAGTGTAGACCTGAAGCTTGTCTTTAAAAGTCATGATAGTCCAGATAAAGAATCCCTTTAACCAGTGTTAGAACTCTTCATTGCATAAACATTCAGCAATAAAGACACATACAGACTCGGATTTCCTATACTATCCTCTAATGTTTGTGATTTACCTGGGTTCCACATACAAAAACAGTTACACCATGCTTGCTTCACACTCTTTAGTTTTCAAATGTGCAGCTTCTGTGCTGCTGAGCCCGATACCAGCCCAGGTGAGTTGTCAGGAGACTTTTTCTGGCCCAGTTCCAGAAGGGCAAAGTGAAACTGGGTAATTATCACTGCTCTTCAATTCTTAGTAAGAACCTACCAGTTTGTCAATCTGGATGGGAATTCAGTGACTTTCCTGATGCAGGTTTTTGACAGTCCTTTGCCCTTTGGAACCCAGTACACACCCAGTACTTTATTAAAAGAGAAAAAGACCAAGGGCTTCTGGTAGTTTTTGTAGCTCCTTCCCACTTCTCACCAGGGACTGAGGGTTGGTTCTGCTCTCACTGGGGCTCTGGCAGGAGGGTGGCTTATACTTGAACAGTAGATGGATACTCTGACAGTGAATTGTGATACAGGGATTTGTACATCTTGGTGACTTCCTTCCCTACTGTTCTTCAGTGATTCCCCTAAGGCATTGACCTTAGAAGACAAATCATTGGCACTTCCTACCTGCCACAGGCAATGTGTGTAACCCTTGCTCCCCACAGCTCAGCCACCACACGAGGCAGGAGTTCATTCCGGGTGGAGTTGTGACCCAGCTGGCCAGACCCTCCTGCTCCAAAGGTGCACACCAGCCCCTCCTTGAAACCAAGAAACAAACAACAGGATCACTGCATTATTAACAGTCATCAAATTGGTCACAACCAAGAATGAGAGCCAGCAAGACACAACATGTTATATGGGACTTGATTCAAAACATCCCTAATTCAAACATGAGGAGGATTCACTTTGCATCAAGCCGGTTCATACACTGTAAAGTCCAAACCATTGAGCTCCTGAGAAAAGCAATTTAACTTGTGAGAATAACTCCCTGTTACTTAAGAATTTTACTCGTATGAGTAAACCCTAGTAAATTAGAAGTCGTTAACATCTTCTGAAGTCCCCAATATACTATAAAAAAGTATTTTCAAAGTACTGGGAGTTGCACTGCACTTCTTTGCCTCAGGATTCCCATTCACCATATCCCTGCAAAAGGTTGCATGCAGGTGACAGGAATATGAGAACAGACCAGTCTTCCCAATAGCTTAGATCACATCCCTTGGGGAGCACCTTCAGGCTTAGGTGGAAGCAGGCATTACCATCCCAATTTCTCCATGCTAACTTTTAGCAGTGTATCTTTTCTCACAAGGTGAGGTCTCAGATGCTGACTTTCCATTTCAGACTCACCTTGGAGAGAACTGCAGTATGATCTGCCCCACATGAGATAAATACAGTCTTCCAGTGCTCTAAAGCTCCAACATATGTTGGGCAGTTCCTGTCTGGAAAGAAGATAATACTGCTAAATTGAAAGAATACTGGAGGGTCTCATATACAGAAAAAATTAGAATACAGGAGGATTAAGTGTTTTTCAGCCCTCTCTTACAGCAATTAATGTATTACAGCTTAGGTTTGGGTCGTTTTCCCTCCAGTATAATATATTCTTTCTCATAATGTTTTCATATTACTTTATTTTCATTTACTTTGGTCTGAAACAAAATGCAGTACTTTCATATCTGAAATGCCAATGGTACTTGGCTGCAAAATATCTGTTTCTCAAGAGTGTGGACACATTCAGATTAGATGTTCTGTCTGTCTTGGGCAACTCTTCTTTATCATTCTAAGTTTGAAGACAAGAGGTGGTTTAAATTCTTCTCTCACTCTGTGTTTATAGAGAATTAGAGAAGATTAAAAAATGTAAAATTAATTTCTTTCATGCAAGACTTCCTGGAGACAAGATAGGAGTAGAAATAGACCTGTAAGACTTCAGAGGTTCTGAGAGCCCACACTATCCAATTAGCCACATAAAATTATTGCAAGTTCTCTACAGAAAAACAACCCCTAAATAGACTGTTCCTGCATGCCTTTCCTGGTCAGGAAACAAAGACTATATCCAGATAGACTTTCTTCAAAAGACTTTACTGTCCACCGCTGCTCCACATGAGCTTGACAATACTGAGGAGCACTTTGGTGAGCTCACTGACCAGGGAAACATCCTCCTGGTGCTTTCCTTCCTTACCTTTTGTGTCTCCAAGTCCCAGCTGTCCAAAACTGTTCTTTCCCCAGGAATACACAGCTCCAGAGAGTGACACGGTGATGCTGTGAGCTCCTCCAGCAGCAATTTGAGCAAGTGGGATGCCCTTTAGTCTTTCCACCAGTTGTGGTTTCTTAGTAAGCCTGGTTTGGCTCCTCACTCCAAGCTGTCCATGGGTGTTCAAGCCCCAGGTGAAGAGCTCACCCCCTTCACACACAGAACCAAAGAAAACAGCTTAGTCTCACTACTTCCCTTGAGTATTTGCACTTTGGGAGTAGGAGCAAAACTCAGTGTTGTTTCCAGGGACCTAGCTCCAAGACAAGACCTCATGTGTGGCCAAATTTGTTTTCTTCTGACCTCTTTGGGACAGTCCTATGTTGCCATGTGACTCAGAACAGCAAGAATAAAGGCCCCTAAAGTCATACTTGCAAGAAGTTCCCAACCAGAAAGGCGCTGCACTTAAGAATGAGCAGGTCTGGCGACCACAGAGTGGGACAGCCACGTCTGCTCTCCACAACACACCTTTGTGGAGGGACAGTGCTCAGGAACTGGAGAGAGATAGAGAGATATATGGATCTCTGGGTGCTGGGAGGAAGGAGCAGCACTGACAGCAACTGCACTTCGTGTCCCCACTGCTCATTACTCTATAACGGTGTCACCAACTACTGCAAGTTGTACAAACACTGCCTTCTCAGAGCAAGCGTGACTCCTATTTGGAGGAAGAGTGTTCTTGAAAGAGATTACCTCTGGATAGTGCCATGGCATGCTGGTCTCCACATGCTATTTGAACAATATTTCGGTCTCCCAGTTCTTTTACCAGCCTACAAAAATAAGGGGAAAAAATCAAAATAAATAGATGCTGTGCTGTGAGACAAAATAAAGGACAAAGATCCTCTGCTCACCAAGCTCTAACACTTTTAGCAGGAAATATATGGAAAAATATAGGTCACCTGTAAGCTGATTCACCCTTCTCTTATGCTGACCTGCTGTAGCAGGGCTAACTGATTTCATTGTGGTTTGCTCCACAAGAATCTGGAAAAGAATCATGCTCAGCCTGATTCTGTTATCTTGCCCTGGGCAAGAAAATCACACAGCAAAGTGTTGGGCCATTTGTAGATTATGGTTACCCTCACAGCTTCATCAGAAGGCGGTAAGATTCAGACATGCTTGTGTCTTTCACCTGCAGTTTTCCCAAGCCATGGGTGATTTGCAAGCCATCAGGCATTGCTCTGGTATGTTCAACTGATCCTTACTAAGTTTGAGAGAAACCTCTCTCATGTGCATTCCAAGCAGCTCAGATCTTGGTATCATCCTCAAAATCTGTGCACTTCTGGCTGGGTTAAAAAAAAAGATAAAGTTTTGGGTACTATGAAGGTATGTGCTCCAGTTCCCTCTCTACAAACACGAACGTGCCTCAAACTCTTGGATGTTACCTTGGGGAAAAGCAGGCTGCATTTTCTGACCTTTGCCATCCATACCTCCACCCTGTGAAAGTTTCTTACCTTGTCTTGGGACTGTTTGCTGAAGCTTTAGCCCACTCTTCAGAAAGCTTCCCGTCAGGTAAGAGAACGAGTGTGTGTGTTGCATCATGGTTTGAGCACCGCAACTTCTCATTCCTCTGTGACTGCGTGCACTCTGCAGGACACACAGACAAACACGATGGTCATGCTATGGCAGCAGGCACCTTAACCACCTCGGCCCCCTTCCCAAGATCTCAGGCTGCTACTGCTTTCAGCAGGAGCTTCTTCTTCTCAGGAGAAAGTGAGACAAGTGTGTGTAACTTACTTTCTCAGGTCCCTTAGGGTTTCAGGGTCCTGCCTACCCACTGGCTTGTTTCCTGCTGGATGACTCTACACTAAAGGACCTTTCTCCATCTCTTAGGCTGCTGTGCCACTAGCTCCCAAGACAACCAGTGAAACATCAGCAGAAGCACAGTCTATTGCTCTTGTACACCTGTGGAGAGTGCCTGATGAAGACAAAGTACTTCCTGAGGCATCTGGCCACCCCAGACTTGTCACAGCCTTGGGGACAGAATGCCTTCAAGTCAAGCACTTTACAAGGTGCTGAAGAAGCAATGACGGAAAATTCACTCTGTCTCTCTACAGCAGGAGGAAGTACCTCTTTGTCAACAGTTGAGGGGCTGTAGATGCTCTCCCGCCCTAGAGGCACCAGGGACTCAGTTGCTCGCATGTAGCTCTGCTCCAGCACAAATGTCTGAGACCCAGGATGTCCAAGAGTGAAAGGCGGTCATCAGCAAAGCCTGCCCTAATTAACCTAACATCTCTGGAGATTCGCTGCCCACCCTTCTCACGCCTCAGACATGGAACTAGAGAGGAAAATCCCTGTCTATTCCCCGGCACGTTCTTCCTCCTTCCAGTCCCCCCGCTCCGAGTGCTGCCCACTGGGACAAGTTTAAGTCCCTGACGCCCCGTCCCCGAGGGGCCGCACAGCAGATTAGTGCAGTTTCAGCGGCTCCACCTGCACGGCCCCATCCCGGGGGTCTCCCAGCGCCGCTCCCACTCGTCCGTACCTCCCGTGCCGCTCTCCCGGCGCCGCTGCTGCCGTCCCTCCGCCATCCTCGCCCGCCGACAGCTCGGGAGTGCCCGGGCAGCGCCGGGAGCGCCGCGCCGGGGAAATGGAAACCGAAACTCATCAGAGGCTGCGGCAGCGGGAGGAGAAACGGGAGGGGTTCCCGATATCTGGGAGTCCGGAGCTGGGAAACTCCGCGGTGAAAGGGCGTGAGCTATTGGGCTCCAGTGGGTTCCGGCTCTCCTCAGCCTCCTGAGCTGCTGCTGCCCGGATGGGTGGAGAGGGCAAAGCAGAAGGCAGGTGGAGGAATGCCGGGGTCTTCCACATGGAGAATGCCCCCTTTGACTTTATTATTCACTTCGGAGAGTGACCCCCCCGTGTTCATCCTGTGGACAGTCGAGAGACCTACTCTGCTGCTTAGCTGTATCCCAGCTAAGAGCCCACGCAAACCAAGAGGGGCTGCTTGGCTGGGGGAAGTCAAACCGCAGGTGAAACGCTCGTTTTGGAAATTAAAAGCCGTCTGCTTCCATTCTCACATAGTCTCATCTAGGTCTCCCCCGCCTTCAAAGACCCTGCGAGCTTCCTCAGTCCCAGAAAGACCACCCTCCCTGCCCCTCTCACTGGAGTGATGCATGCAGGTGATGAAATTAGGGATACCCGTGTGAATGATGAAACAGATCAGAACACCTAAGATCACTTTTGTTGTATTCCTAATAGCTGCCACCGATGAATTAAATTCAATCTGTTGATGAGAATTTTATGCTGCTGAATACTAAGCATAGATTTTGGTGGAGCGCTCTACAAAAGTCCCAAGAAGCACGATATGAATCTGCAGATTTGCATTGATGTTCACTGAAATTAATTTCTGTGAACGCCAATTACTGAGACAGCAGGAGCATCTAACGTAATCTATTTATATGGAGCAGCCTGTGGTGCACAAAGAGGCACCCGGACGTCTCTGAGGTGAAGAAGAAAGGTTGTGGAGGAGCCATAGAAGCAAAGCAAAGTGAGGCTGGGACATACAGTAAATGACTTCTGCTCAGGGAGGAGCAACCAGCCTAATCTCTCCCAGCCACTTCCCTACATGAACTTTGTGGATTATATCTCCTTCCACGGTATGTGGGAAAGTCTCAAGATCAAGAAATACGGAGCTAGAAAAGTAATGCCAGAGCATCACCTGGGAAGGGACACTAGAGGTCCTTCTGCACCAAAGCATGAACTAAGGACTCCTCCCTGTGAGGAAAAACTGCTCCAAGCACTGCCTCCCGCCTGGCATGGAAAGAAAGAGATTCGAGGAAAGGAAAGGAAAGGAAAGGAAAGGAAAGGAAAGGAAAGGAAAGGAAAGGAAAGGAAAGGAAAGGAAAGGAAAGGAAAGGAAAGGACAGGAA